CAGTGACTGCATTGTTAATAGCAGTACGCATCGACTTGCAAATAAATGACATTGGAGGCAGTCAGACAGAAGCTGGTTATCTTCACTGTGATTAAAGTACTCCAAGTTGATTAAATGAAATTCTGCCTGGTGACTCGGAATTATTATGCACATTTTTTCAGATAGGTGAACCAGTGTCACCATTTTATTAAGTGGAAGGCTAGATAAGGGCAGGTGGTGCGTTTTTCATTACTTTAATTGTGTGATTTGTCTGGATTTTCAGCTTTTGATAAATGCTGTAGTGTTATATGACAGAATTAAAAGGATTTGGGAGTTTAAGAAAAGGACTTTGCAACAGGATTTCAACTCTTTGTATATTTGATGGATTTGGCTGGATTTTTGTTTTTGTTTTCAATCAGTAAGCTACATTAAACACAGAGTGTTGAGCAGGTGTGCATATCGCCAGCATATTCCACCAACCCAGACGCAAATACAATTCCACATATCAAAAAAATTAATCCATCACAACCTATGGATTATACTTTTACCCACACACGCAATTGCACTGGATACTGACTCCATTAAGTAGAGCACATGCTTGCTGTACAATCAGTGAGACAACAATTAACCTTATTCCTCTGAATTGTCCTTTTACTGATTTTGCTGATGAAATATCTCTTTCAAAATGTCTCTCTCTCTCTCTTCCAAAAAAAGCTACTATCTTTTAGTTCATCATGTGCTAGCTATAATGAAAAAAAACCCTGAGTTCAGTTTGCCATGACTCCAAATTGCTACCAGCCCATACACTAGCAGTTGGATCTATGGAGACACATGTTTATCTTGTGGCAGAATCCTGTGAAAGGTAAAGTCTCTATGCAGTGGCATAACTTTAGATCATGGGACCCCATAGCCATATTTTGATTTATTTATTTGGGGGTATTTAGGGATGTCCCGATACCACTTTTTCAAGACCAAGTACAAGTACTTCCCCTCATGTACTTGCCGATACCAATTACCAATACTTTTTCTTGAAGGGACAGGTGACATTTCAAAAAAACAAAACAATACAGACTAATGATTTTAAGCAGATTTCTTTAAGATTATGAAGAACTTTAATTTAAGACTGTTTTAGACCAATAAAACCATTTGTATTTGCTTTCACACAGCTGTAGTGAAACTACAAATCCGATCATGCATCTGCCTCTGGGATCATTTAACCTATTCATGTTAGCAGGGGAGAATTGTAACTCTATTGCTGCAGTGTACTGGAAGTGTGTGCTGTGGATCATTTAACCTGGTACACACTTCCAGTACATTGCAGTAATAGATTTACAATTCTCTGTTAAAATTGTCCCCTGCTAACATGAATAGGTTAAATCATGATCCATAGTACATAACATGTAGTTGTACTATAGATCATTTAACCTATTCCTGTTAGCAGGGGAGAAATTGTAACTCTATTGCTGAAGTGTAGTGGAGGTGTGTGCTGTATATATGTAGTACATTTACAGTACACACTTCCAGTACCCTGTAACAATAGATTTACAGCCAGCCCTGTCCCAGATTCCCTCACACATATTTCACTCCGATCCCTGTTGCCTCGCGTGGTGCCTCTCGTAGTCGGCGCTGGGTAGCATCTCGTCTCGGTGCTCAGCTTGTGGGAGGCGCTCAAAGTTCTCCCCTGCTAACATGAATAGGTTAAATTGTGATCCATAGTACAACTATGTATTATATACTATTATGTACTATGGATCATTTGACCTATTTATATTAGCAGGGGAGAATTGTAAATCTATTGCCTGCTGTGTATTGGGAGTGTGTACTCTATATGTACTACACTACATATAGAGTACACTGCAGGCAATAGATTTACAATTATCCCCTGCTAATATTAACAGGTTAAATGATCCATAGTACAACTACATGTTATGTACTATTATGTACTATGGAACATTTCATCTATTCATATTAGCAGGGGAGAATTGTATCGGATACCGATGCTAGTATCGGTATCGGGACATCCCTAGTGGTATTTATATAGCGCCGGCAATTTACGCAGCACTTTACACACTGCACATTCACATTAGAACCCTGCCCTCAAGGAGCTTTCAATCTAAGGTCCCTATTTCACGTGCATACATACAAGGGCCAGTTTAGACAGGAGCCATGTAACCTACCAGCATGTCTTTGGAGTGTGTGACAATATTTTAATTAATCTTAACATACAATAAGTCTAAATCAAGGACAGCTGCCAGGAGAGCTATCCTGGCCGCATAGTCAGTATACTGCAAGGGAACAGAGCTGTGGGCTGAAGTTGTTAGGGAAAAGGTTGGCAGCAATGCAGGGAATTAACTTTAAATGTAAATTTTGCAGCTAATTGCTCTGACCTCAGTATCTCACCCATCTTTTCTAAGATCTCAGGGACTTAGTGTAAATTCTAAGACCTACCACTTCTTCCATCATCACAGCAAGCAAGGATAGCAAAGGGTGGCATAGTAGTCAGTAAAAAGAATGAAAAAAGTAGAAGAACAAAAAGAAACTCTGGGGACAATACATCTACAATGCTAAGACAAATTCCCCTTATAGCACAGCCTGCAAAGGGGATCTATGACTAGTGACAACAATTCTAAAGTCTCTTGCTGTGCATTTGACACCATCTCTTTTTGAAATGTAACAGGGTTACTTGCTAAGTGTCAACAGCAACCTCTGCAGTCATTATTGATACAGTGATGGATATGTGTTATCTTCACATGAACACTGATTTTCTATGTTTAAATTGTATATATTGGGGCCCCACCCTCAGGCCCTATAGCAACCGCGTGGGCTGCTATGACTGTTGATTCACAGCAGGAAACTTTTAAACTCACCTGACCTGTGGGCTGCTGGTCAGCGCTGTGACTCACCATGCATTTTGGCAGCTTGTCATGGCCTATCACTCAGACCTGCTCAATTTAGTGAGCACTATTGAGAACTCACAGGAAACGCTGCCAGAATCCCTAGTAAAAAGCGGATGTTTCTTTCCCCTTTTTGGCTTGTAATGCATTCAGGATGTTGTTCCTGGCTTTAAATGCCATTTCTCTAAAATGAATGCTTTCACACCTAACCTAGATTTCTGAAAAAATGTTAGTGAACCAAGTTGATAAATTGAAAGAATCATGTGTATAAAAAGCTGATGTACCAAAAAATGTAAAAGACATGGGTTAATTGACCTAATGACACAAATATACTTCTACGAGTAGATGGATTTCATTTTATTAGGAAAAAAAAAGAAACATCTATTGATTTAAAGTACATTTCAAGTGACAAAAGCTTACCTGAACCACTGCTAGCACCACACACCTCCAGCTACCTGCAGGTTAAAGCTGTCCATACACTGCTCTATTTTTTTCAAAAATAGAGCAGATTCCTCCATAAACGCTACAAGCGCGTTGATCAAGGAATCCCTACTGTTTCTTTTGTATCCTGACAGTGACCAGCATCGGAAACTCCTTGGCTCTGTTTGTACGAAGATTTTCCAACCATCTCCATTGATCAGCTGATCAAGGGATGCCAGCCGAAGGGGTGCCAACAGCACCACCCACTGTGCAAATTTTGGCCGTTTCCTCAAGAACCGGACGAAATTTGCACAATGTGTAGCCTTAAAGTGGAAGTAAATACTGGTAAAAAAAACAAATGGGCCCCCTGGAGTTACCATCCTAGTACCTACCAAACCCATAACTTCCAGCACAGCGCTCGACCCTCTTTGGCGCATCTGTGTTTGGCTCGATCTTCTTCCAGGTTTTAAGTCTTTGGTCACTTGATTGGCCAGGCCCTGATGACATAACTCCTGTGCATGCATACGGGAGTCACTTGACATGCCGGGTCTGTGCGCTGAGCTGTGCATGTGTGGCTCAGAAAAAAAAATTGGCGATTAGTAAAAAAGATTTTATGGCAGAAGAGACTTACACAACCTCTTCTCCCATAAAAAGCCTACCAATCTGCAATTTCTGCAACTTTTTTCCCCTTTTTCTTCCACTTTAAGTCAATAAAGGCACACTGACCTGACACATTGTCAGGGGTACCGGCACAGGTGACCCCACACCTCCGCAGGTACACACACAGGAAGACCAAACACGTGTGACCACACGGACAAGGCAAGTATGTTACACGGACCAGGCAAGGATGTTAGCTATGTATAGTTTGTTTAATATACACCTTAGACTAATAGGAATAACCAACAACAAGGCTCAGGACAGCAAACAAAAGACACATGAAACAGGACTTCAAACAGGGTTCAGGACTCACAGGTGAAAAGGTTCAAAACAGGATTCAGGACTCACAGGTAACTAGGTTCAAAACAGGATACTGGGTTCAGGACAAACAGGAAACAATACTGAGCCATCATCCTGACTGCAGAGAGGGTTTAAATACCCAGGAAGCACCAGGTGATGGCTAAGTGCTAGGAGACACCCGCAGGTGAGCACTGGAACTGCAGGGCTAGCTCCAACGCCACCTGGAGGCGCTCTGGATCCTAACACACATGGTTCCAGCAGTAGTTCATGTAAGTGTATGTCAGTTCAGGTTTACTTTAATTTCTGATATTAATTAGTGGTTATGTACAGATTATACAAACAAGTGGATTGGCTAGGTAAGAAAAAAACATACTACAAACAAGCTAGTATTTACTGTGTTCAAATATATTTTATTCAGTTGTTTATGCTATACTGATGTGATTCATTTTAGCAGTAAGCATTTCCAGGAATCTGTTTTGTGCCAGCAAAAAACACATGGGATACAACTTAATGATGATGATCATTTATATTGTTATTGCATTTTTTAAATAAATAAAGAGTATGCCGTACAAAAAAATAAAATATCTGTGCCATAAAAGTATTGGTGTATATAAAAAATGTGATTTTGTAGTTTGTGACGGATATTTGCAGTATTTATTTTTACTTAATTAAAATGCTTGAGTTTTCCTTCTGCATAATTGCACTGCTAGTTGTTTTACATTTTATTAACCTTTTAATATTTCTTTGCAGGTGCTCAAAAATGCGACATTTTTTCAGAGAAGAGACCTCTTCTTGGAATGTGCAAAAGTATAGGCTCATGCGGGTAAGACATCTTTTCTTGTTACCATATAACAGCCACCTAGTACATATGCATATTGCCCTAAGCATGGTATTTTTATAAACAGTTGCAGTCAGTCAAATTGCTATGTAGATAGTACTGTTTGCTACTCACTCTGGGCAGTGGAAGCATCATGTGTTTGCTCTTACAGGTTTCTTTTATAAACATTGCATTTCATTTTTGCAAAGGGGTATACATAGGTTCAAGGAAAGAACATCTTTCATATTAAAGACAACATAACCACAAAGTGTAATGTAGTATTGCTACCAGGTAGAATAGTCAAATTTCAGTGTAGCTTAATAGGAGTAAGGGCATTGTGACAATAGAGAGTATGGAATTAATGCTTTAGGGGCAGTGACTGAAGGGTTGACCAGGCTTGTCTATGCCAGACCAACACTGAACAGAGAGCGGTGGTAAAGGAGATTGCCCCTGATTCTAACAAACGAGTTAATGTGTGCGTTGGTGTATTCGCACAGGCAAATGTGAGTGGTTTTATCTATTTATATCATTTTTATATAAAAGATAATCTATACAAAAATCTATGATCCTCAACATAAAAAGACGACAGTGTTGGGCTAAGCCCTCAAGCGTATAATGACCTTAGTGTAAAAACTAGGTCCAACGTACAAGGTGAGAGTTCTATATGCAAGGGGAAAGTAAAGTGCACAACACATGTGGCTGAAGATAATCATGAAAGAGATTGTTTGCATTACAGGATCACGGATGTATTGTTACAATGAAGTCACAAGACAGTGGACTTCTGCATTATCAATAAAGGTGTTTATTTAAGATTGATACTGTGTGTTTTATAGGAAGTTGCTGTATTGTTGCTTAGATTGTGGCAACACTGTTATACCAATCACACAGTTTATTTTTTAGTTAGGTTTGGGACACTTAAGCACTGCAGTTGTATATATAGTTTAATATTGCATGTGTTTTTGACGGGTGAGGAGTGCTGACAAGTAATAGTTTAGGAAAGGGATATCGTAGCACAGAATTCATGAATTTATATATCAATAAGATTGAGTATAACACTTTATCAAAGCTAGCTTTGAACCAAGCAAGCATTTAAGATCCAAAGGACAGTCTTTAGGTATCTTTAACAGTAGGGATGGTAAAAACTGTTAATTGTGTAAAGTTGCAAAAGCAGCTACAGCATTTTTTTTTTTTTTCCATGGTGAAAATATGCACAAAAGAAGCACAATTGTAAATCAAATGAGAGCCTTTGATATGACTGTGTGGTGCAAATGTCTAGTAACAGTGTAAGTGTTATTGGAGTACATTAATGTGTTACAGATATGTATGAAATAAGGTAAACTTTACATTTTGCCTGGTGACTGCTTGTCAGAATGTATATAATCCCAGGAGCAAATCTGATTAGATTAGAAGCGCTGTTTATTTCTAGGTTGCCAGCGAATGTTCCATTCTGGTTGTTTGCTTCTAGGATTTGTACCGTGTTTCTGCAACCAAGTAATCTGATGTATTTGTGTATATATGGCCTCAGTTTGTCCCGAATATTTAGATAAATGCCATTCTCTTCGTCTCTCTGTGCCCTTAACCTCTTCCTTGGTTGTTATTGTATTTATGTTGTATGTTATGGAAATGGTAAAACAAATTAGTACTTGAAAAACAATGAGACGCGAACAGAAAATGATTCATCGACTTGCTATTGAAATGTTATTGTGAAAAGTTTACTTTACTGGCTTAGGGTTCGTGATATTTTAGGGAAACTATGTCAAAACATTTTGCTGTTCCTTTATTTTTAATGTAATGTGAAATTACCAATACTGTTATCTGGTAGCAAAGTCAGCAATACAGTATTTTCTGAATAACCTTTAGAGCTCCTGTTATTCAGAATGACAGGACTTCTGGCGCAAAATGTATTACCGTTTAATCCTTTTGAAAACTTCTGTAAAGGGGAATTACATTCAATTCTTACTATGTTTTAGGTGTATCAGGTGTTTCCATCTAACTTCAGTTAGCATTGTCTCATCAAGGATTTTCTCTACTACACTTTAGAAATTCTATGTTTTTTTAGACAGGTGTGAACCTCAACCATACCTTGGTATATCCCTTTTTGAAGTAACAGAAACCAAATAGTAAAATTGTACATAAACACTAACATATGAACCTTCCTTTTGGTACTTTTTACATATTTCATTAAGAGGTTTTTGTTATACCTGTTTAGTAAGTGCACAAATAAACTACCAGGTGATCTTGCCATAAATATTCTCAGCTGATAACGTCTTGTGCTTTCTGCCTGTGCTGCACTCATATCAGTTACATTGTTCTCATTATATAGGGAATGTTATAGGGAAAAGGGGCGTGTCCTGTAGTGCAGACCTAGGATGACAAATCTGCTCTTGTATGTATACAGTTCAGTAAGTCAGCATTGTCACCCTAGCACATGACTTGCATAACTGGCAGAACCACTGGGTGAAAATAAAGGTGTTAAGATACACTTTAAGATAGTGTTATGATAGCACTGTGCTTTTTCTGTCTGTTGAGGTGGAGAGGCTCTATTTTTTTTGGGGGTCTACACAGCAGTTCAGTTTTCACAATGGCCTCAACCATCTTTGTTGCTTTTTCAGCATCAAGACCCTTTAGGCAGCATTTCCACAGAAATAAAATAAATCCTAGCCTGTCCAGCACTTACTACATAGTGCAGGTCCATCTGCAGGAGATATTAATCTTTTGTCCAGCTATTCAAAATATTAGCGTGTACTAGGCTACCATCACTCACTCTCTGTAGACCAATATAGTCGGATTTCCATGAGGTTCACGAGAACAAAAGCTAAATCCCACTTCAAAAGAACAGCCACACCTTTAGCTTAATTAGGCCTACTTAGGCCAGTTTTGTAAGAAAGCCTGTAGTGCAAATAGCACCAGCCAAACTGGCTTTTAAAAGCACATATGGTAGCAGTATGTCCAATTACAGGCCTCTCTCATCTTTTTAAGTGGGAGAACTTGCACAATTGGTGGCTGACTAAATACTTTTTTGCCCCACTGTATTTAAACTCTTTGCATTTGCATTCTATTGTTTTTCTCTCAGTAGAGAAAATGCTACAATGATAATATCATTTATCCTTACATTTAGTTCAGCTTTCTCTAGTTAGTAAATTTTATCCATTTAACGGATGGAGAAGGCAAATTATATTAAAGTGAGAGTGGAAGTCAAAAAGTAAAAAATTGTGTGCAGGCATGCTCTTTAAACAAACTTACCTGCCTGTTCACAAACTTCAGAATGGGCTTGTGCACAGCTCAGTTTACCTCGGTGTCCCCACTGGCCACTCAAGATAGCTAAAGACCCTGCTCCCAGAAGAAGCCAAGAAGAAGATGTCAGCGCCAGCGAGGGAGCTCATGGACGTCACATTTCTGGAGCAGAGGTGGACATCTGTGAACTGCAAATGTACAACTGTATCTCCATAGGCCCCAATAAAGGGCTTATATAGCACACTGTGATAGAGTGCAGAAAAGAAACAATAGCAGAAACAAACCTAACGTTTATCATAAACTGGAAGAAATACAATAAAGACATGTATGTTTTATACAGTATTTTATAAAATATCACATGCAAAAAACAGCTCATAGCACAAGCTGATGAATAAAACAAATGTGACAAATACATTGTGAAAATTCTATTTATATTCTTGGCTGACATAGATTCACAGGGGGGGGATTTATCAAAACTGGAGCAGACAAAATCTGGAGCAGCTGTGCATGGCAACCAATCAGCTTCTCTCTTTCCATTTCAAATCTTAACTGTTCAAACTGTAAAGGGAAGCTGATTGGTTGCTATGGACAATTGTTCCACATTCTGTCGGCTCCAGTCTCCTCACAGTATTTTTCTGTGGCTACATTATGCATTTTTAGCTTCCCTTTGATTTGATATATTCATTTTGATTGCAAGTTAGAAAGTAAACTTCCTTTTAAAATATGTGTGTTATGTGTTTGTAGAAAAGCTCCTTAGGGTTAACAACTTTTTTTTAAGGTATGCTACTGTTGAGATTTTGATCATACGTGAAGTTTAATTTGTAGAATTCACCATAGCATTGTACACAATTGCTCAACAATATTGTTTTTAGGGATGTTCAGATACCAGTGCCGATACTTGGTATTTTCATGAGATCTACCAGGGTTTCAGTGGTTTCACTGTCCTGAAATCATTCGTCTGTATTGTTTTAGAAAAACTGTCACAAGACACTAAACAAAGTATCAGTACTTCTATCTGTGAGTAGTTGGACAAATATCAGTACTTGTACTTAAAGGAATGGTATCAGTGCATCACTAATATATATTTATGGCAAAAAAAAATCATACATTAAAACTGGGATGCACAAATCCCAGGAGCTCCATATGCTCCTTAAGAATAACATCTGCCTCCTAACTTTTGAATTTTTCTCTAGTCTAGTCTTGGACCTGGAAAAGTATCTGTACATGTACTTGTACCGAGTACAGTGCTTGGTATCTGAACATCCCTAATTGGTTTGCATAAAATCACCTTTTGCTTAATCTGGATTTTCAAAAGCAAAGCTATGTAGCCCTGAGTAATAGCATCAACTAGAGGCATGATTTACTGTTGGGGATATGTAACCCATTTGATATATTTTTTCGGACCTAAGGGCCACAGAATTTTCAAGGACGTTAACACTGCACTTGCTATGTGGGAATATTATGAATGCATGTATGAATATTGGAACTATAATGCTTTTTTTAGGTGAATTACAGTGCATTTTATTTAAATTGATAATATGTACCCTTTTTGCTATCTATTTAAAATATTTCACAAATTTTAATACAGAGTGTTTCCATGACATTGATATTAAAAAGCATTATTTTTAAAAAATAGAGTACAGTAAAAACTGCTTGCTTTCAGTCTGTCTCCTGAGAAAAGTCTGTACAGAGCCATACACATAGAGGGAAGGGAAGGTGAGACTCTCTCTGACTCATTCAGCTATGTGTGTAATTTGAACTTGAGCTATTGA